GAATGAACCAGTTTATTATTAGCCTATCTGATAGTATAGCTTGCATTACAACTCCTTCATCAGAGCACCTGAGCAGCACATCACTTCATTAGACCTCTAACATCTTGCTAATTAGTTTCATAAATTACTAATTGAACTCTTTAGATGATTCACATTGCTATAATAAATCTYGCCATACAGAAAAATCAGTGATCTCAGAAGAGGATACATCATAGGATCATSCCCCCCTGCTAGGTAACACAAAACTAAATAGTGGGGTTTAGTAGGGGATGGGAAATTTTCCTTCAAGATTAGCAGTTCAGAGCCCTTATCACTGTGATGCATCTAAGCACCACATATGTTGCACCTGCCTAAACATGGAGTTTCCACTGATGTCAGTGTGTGGAGCAAGCGAGACACAGACCCACACATCGAGGGTAAAGGATCTGCACACCAGATCAAAGGGAATGTTCTCCCCCTGCGACAAATCCATCCATGGTGCTAACTCTGCTGCTTTAACGATATTTAACGCATGTCGCCACTGACATCACTGCTAAATCTGGCCCCACTGGAGAGATGGAGTTTGGCAAGGATCAGCAAGCAAGGTTGAAAACCATACAGAAACCATACAGTGCTGACCACTTCCAGCAATGGAAGAGGCTCTCTCCGCCTGTTCCACCATGACTGTCTCCAACCACAACCTAGGAACAGTGTGACCCCTGGCAATAGGCTGGCAGCTGCTGAAAGGCACCCAAGGATTTCAGAGCCAGTTCTTCACATGCAGAGCTCTGCGTGACATCCCGGCACAAGCTCTGTGACAGGCCAGAGAAAGGTCTGTAGGGCTTTAGGCAGCCTAGTCTGACACTTCCCTCATGAACTTCTTGTGTTTTCCCAAGAGCCAGCCTGATCACCACTTGCCTTTGAGCAAAGGACGGGCTTGTTCTCACCAAAGTCCCAACAGTGTTGGCATCTACATCTCAGCCACATTCAGCATCCACTGGAGTTAATGGAGTGAGACAGGGACTTCTGGGAATTAAATCAACTGGTCCACAGCAAAAGCCTAACTTGGGAGGAGATTTGTATCATTCTCCAACAGCTGCAGAGAGCATTTAGCTCTAGCTTGGATGCAGGTGTGCACACATGGTCAGAGGAACTCCATCCCAAGAAAGTGGTCAGATGCTTGAGCTGCTGCTGCTACAACCAGTTGAAAACACAGTTGTTTTACGCACACAACTGGCCCTGTGCTTGCCCCTGACTCCGGACCGTTGCCTTGTTCAAAGCTACCTCTTACAACTGGCCTCAGCACAGCAAACTGATGGTGTTGATTGGTAAAACCAATAGGCAACAAGAATATCGAGTCCACCCCGTACGCACAGGAAGGGCTGCTTGACCCCACAGGCTGGAAGCAGAACTAGTTAGCCAAGATCTTACATTTACACACAAACCCCAGGAAGGGACCTTTGCAAACACTTCTTCTGGTCTTCTGCTTTACCAGCCAATGTTTCACCCAACAGAGTTCTGAACTTGGAAAAACACATGATTGCCTGCTATAATTACAGGCCTATACCCATTGGATTTGGCACCACTGATTAACCAAACATCATGCATTAGCTCTAAGAGAAAGCCATTATTTGTTTTACCAACATAAGGTTTATCCTCTACTAGCCTTTAGCTTTCCACAAAAAGATCATGCTCTACCATACATCACACATTAGAGGCAGCTTTTAAAGTTTAATATCTCCAAAGGAACAATAATTGCAACTCTTTCAATATTTTATATTCACAGACAAGCAGAATGAACTCATTGGGATCAGCAGGTGGTGTATGTTCAGCTGCTCCGAGCAATATTCAGCTTGCCTATTCCCAGGGAGTGCAGCTGACATCAGAGAAGCAGTGCCCTGTGAATGTGCCATTCAGTAGATAGGAGAGCCCAAAGCTTGGGTGTTAGACATGAAAGTGTTTTGTAACATGCAGATGTTTTCCATGCAGAGACTGTGAAAAGTGACGGCCAAGATTTTATAAATCCTGTGCTGTTTTTTCTTATACTATTTTTCCCTCACATACCCCCATTTCCTTGCCTTTTCTCATATGAAAGAATGATACCATTAAAAATGATGGGTTACATCCTTAGCTGCTATGATTTGGTGTGACTTTACTGGCTTCACAGAGCAATGTCTGTTTACACAAGTTGCAAATTTGTCCCAACAATTTAAATCTATATAGTTTTACATCMTGGAGAATAGTACTATACACATATTTTTTCCCATAGCTAAAAAAAAAAACTCTTAAAAGAAAGACCCTTGATGTCTACTAAACATATATTTGGAAATAAAGATTTCACAGGATGCCTTCCACAACCCTCTCTCATGCCTTTCTTTCTGCTCCTCACGGCCCTCCCATGGGCCTGTCTCCCTGGGCAGGCCTGCCCTGCGACACAGAGAGCAGTGCAAAGGAGCCCGAGGTAGTGCCCACAGAGCTGGTCAGTCATGGTCACAGAGGTGGCAAACCTGCCTACACAGAGACAGAAAAAAGGCAGGCTTATTCACACAGGTGCCACTAAGCCACTTCCAAATCCAGACCTCGTACAGAGCTCACTGAGGCACAAGAATGGGCCAGCTAAGGAGGATAAGGAGAAAGTCCCTGGATGAATCTGTGGCTAGGTCTGCTTTCTGACTTCTAAACCTCCTCCCTCTCCTGCTCTCCAAGTAGCACTGTGAATACAACACAACCCAGATGCCTCTGAGACCTCCTGAGAATACGGCCCTCTTCACCTCACCCGGACACATGTAGCTCTCAGGTTGTATCTTCYCTCTCCACAGTGCACAGGAATGGTCAAGCATCGTGTCTGCAAAATATACAGTACTGTGCTATGATTATGGGCCATTCTGCATAGAAACACAACGAGGCTTCACGTGGCATATCTAACTGACCTCACTCAATAAAATCTTCCCTCTTGTAAATAAGGGCCACTCTGTGCATCCAACGACTTGAAGCCAGGAACTTCCCATTAGGAAACAGTTTGCTTACCAGGCTGGAGATCTCAAACACTTAGGAAATCTCAACAGCAGCAGCAATTCTGCTGGACAAAGAGCTGACTGAGCCTGACTTTGGCATACACTGAATTATCCAAAAGAGCCAGGTGATTCAAGTGTCAAAACTCTTCAGCATACTTACTGATTTAATTTGAACACTGAAGTTCTCCAGGCTTTTTTTGGAAGTCCCAGTTGTGATTTCAGCAGCAGGTATGTCCAAGACAGCCACACAATTTGAACACCATCATTAAAACCATGACCTATTCCTGCTTGAGATAAGCGATGGAGTCCCTGTATGAGTGGTAGCCAACCCACTGATGAGCTGCATTAGGCAGCTCAGGGCTGCGAGGCGAGAGGCCAGTGGAGGACTCTCTGTAAAAGCCTCACACTTTCATTATGGTAGCTCATTGACCTCCYGTTTCTTCCATAAAGATAAGCCTGGCCTGCAGAACATGTTGGGAATACATTTTAATATCACACTTATTTTGGAAAAAGGTGTTATTAAGGGCCCTCCATGCAACTGGTTGCACTGCAGACTTCTCTGGTGGTCCTTACATTGCATCTCCCAGAAAGCAGCCCCACTAAGGCACTTTTTCCTCTGAAATCCAGCTTCTCCAGCACTCTGGTATGTGCTGCTCTTTAGGTTGTTTTCCATATGATCTCTCACTCTGAGATTAACATTTCCATCCTGTTCCTCTTTCCTCAAGACTGCTAACTTGCTGGAGGTTAAGCTGCCTCTCAGACAGCCCCCTTCCCACTTAGCCCATATCCCAGAATTTTCTTTCATGAAAAAGGCACTGTGAAGGCTCAGGACCCTGTGCTATGATTTACACTTTTTCATCTCCTGTAGAAAGACTGCCGTGTATGTGATGATACCATTCAGCTCCGTTTACCTGAGAACTTAAGAAAATACCATCGGAGGTTGTTTTTTCCATATGGGTAAATAGTAGGGGTGGGAGTATTCCTTATGGGAAACCTGGAACAGTCGCACTCTGTCGGCCTGACATTTCCTGCCATAATTGAAACTTTTGATGTTAAAAATTCCATTTACACAGTGTCGCTCTAAGGCAGGCGGGAGAAGGGCGGCCGTGGGGGCAGCGTTGGGATACTGTGTTTCCCCAACTCCCCCACTGCAGCCAGTTAAACTATAGCAGGTGAGATGCATAGATGTAAGGGAAGGAATATGAGGAAGGAAATACCAGCTGAGTTAGGTAATTTGGGTCAGAGGAAGCCAGGCGTAGTTACAGAGGCAGGCACAGATTAAATCAACTTGAGGCTCTAGGTCTCTGCTTCTGCCCAGGCCCCTGCTTAGGAGGGCCGGGCCGTGCACCCTGMGACTCTGCACTAGCAGAGTCTTGGAGACCTAGGCCCTGTCCTGAGAAGCTGGACAGAAAGGCAGCTCCTTCAGAAATTACAGATGCCAGCAGGGAGAAGCTACCTATGACATGATCCATTATACAACGTTGTAAGGGAGGTTTTCATAACCTGCTTGGCTTTGCCTTCTCACAAGTTAAAGGGTGCTTTAAAAATCCCACTCAACATTTCCCAACCTAACCTTGAGCCAGGACTGCCAACTGGCCAAATTCTAACCCAGATCCCTGCCAGCCTCAGGTGGAAGTCCAAACACAGTGGCCTGCTGCAATCCACCATAAATTTAACCCAGCAGCCAATTCCCCATAATCTTGACCGTGAGGAGCAGCAGAAATCTGCTCCCAACCAAAGCCAGCCCAACAACCCAGTCACTCCTGATCTTCTTTAAYGCACAGGCTCCTTCCAGAGGGCAGCACATCTCATGGGTCCTTGGGGGTTTCACCCAGCAGTCCCTAGCAGAGCCCCACTTGCCCTGCCRCTGCCTCAGCTCTGCAGCTCGTGGGCTCAACTCCTGCCTCTAGCACCCGCTCTGCCCTACTCTGGCAGCATCTGCCATGCCCAGCTGGCCCCTGAACTGGCCGGACACCTACCCTGGTCCTCCACGGATCCTCCCTCCAGCGAGTGCGCTCCTCTGGGCGAGCAGCAGCACGAGGCTCTTCAACACTGGCACCAGCCCTGGCGCCAGCCCCTGCTAGCAGGAAATACATTAGTCAGACAACGTGCAGGGCAAAGTGGAATCCTTGTGGGTAACGGGCATAATTTCATTAGCGAGTCAGAGTGACTTTGTGCTAAGAAGTAATTCTGGTGTGCCACGAAAAGCTGGAATCCTGTCACATCTCAAGAGGTGCAAAAACACAAAAGCTTTATTTTAACTGTTGCCCACACTGGCATTAAAACGATTCTTCAGAATGATAATACAGCCATACTTCCCTGATTTGCTTTTTGCTGTTTTTTCCCCTTTGATGCAACTTTCTTTTATGCTCAAAGGCACAAAGCAGGAAAGGAAACAGTTCTGTCTGTGACTTCTTTTCAGGCACCTTGCAAAATAAGGCTCAATACTTTATCAAAATCAGGTCCCTTCATCAAAATCCCTTCTTAAGGGATCCAAAGACTAGACAGTGAAAAAACAAGTATCTAGAGTCACCAACCATTTCTGAAAATTTGGATCTTCATTGTCAAATGGCCATTTGACCCTCCAGCCATGGCCCTRACAGCCACAGTAATAAGAAAATTACACTAATCATTATTCTTTCTAATAACACTAACAAGTAATGGGAATTAAGGGTGAGAAATCTGGGGCTGGCTCTACAGAAACAGATATTCTATTAGTAAACAAATCAGTTATTTTGAACAGCTGTTCTGATTAATTCTCATTTCTAAATTTATAACTTAAATGGCAATGGACTGCAGACTTAAATCTGCCTTTTGGAATTCCACAAAAAAAATTCCCTCAGTCACAGAAATGGGWAGAAAATTCAGGTCAGAAATTTTATGGCCCCCGAAAATTCTGACAACTAACACAAAGCTGCTGGCTTTGTCCAACTCTGTAACCAGAGCAGACAAACCTAAAACCTAAAAGTTACAACTATTTTATTCTTACACCAAACATACAGGTGCTCATTTTCATTGCATATTTAATTTAGATATTCTTGGAGATAATTGCAGATTTCTCCATTTTAGAAGTTTTAACATTTAAATTCACTTTCTTGTTTAAAATAAATTTTAAAGCTTCAAAAACTATGGAATGAAATATTTCATTGTCATTTTCTCTGAGACAAAATGAATTTTTATAAATTTTTTTTAACTTTTTGATAGACCAAATATTTTGGGGAAAAATCCATTTTGTGAGACTTAAACAAACAGAATTCCCAGTGATCTCAGGGTCTTATCATTGTTCATAAAACCTCACCAAGGAATCCTTTATAAGAAAAGTCGTACCACGGATGCCTCTTTCTCTGGGCAAAGCTGGGAACACGCCACACAAAGATCAGTTTTTATACTCCAGCAAAATTAAGAAACTCATAAGAATGGGACTTGCTGATGCCCCATTATGCAAAAAAATTRCCCCTACTAGTAGTGTTCACAATGAAGGAAAGAAAGGGAAAAGAAAGGTGGGGAAAAAAGAAGTGATTTGCCCAAGGTCTCAGAGCAGATTAGTAACCGCAGTGTAAAAGGAGACAGCTTCATCTGAACACTTCCTTCAGTGACTTACCTTTATTTTCATTTCAGAGCTTCCTTCTCCTGCCTAACTTCTGCTTCATGGGCTGGCAGAGGGCTGCAGGATCTCAACAAGTACAAATATCATGATCACCTAGGGGGACCACAAAAGAGCAGACTTTATCTCAATTTTATWTTGATCTTGATATTTGTTAACCTAGGAGAAAAGAAAACTCCCAGTGTGCCACTAGCAGAAGTCACGTACCAGTCATCAACTGTGAGATAAAGAAAAAATAATGGAAAGGAAAAAAGATACAGGGTAAACAGAAAAGGAGAAGTGTTGTCAGGAACCTATGGCATAAGAGTTGTGGGTGTCTCTGGTCTACTGCTATGTGTAAACATTTATCTGAATGACAGCACATGGTGGAAAATCATGTGAGATGGGCCAGAACTAAGTCATGATTGATGGGCCTTGTAAGGACGGGACCTGGCTCTCCAGTGTTGGTTTTGCAACCTTTGATCTTTATAGCCATGCATTATAAAGCAGTTTCAACTTGTAACTAAATTCCTAACATACTCAGCTGTGAAATCCAGACATATCCTGAGTAATAAAACAAATACATAAACTGGAACTTAGGTGAGAGAGTCATCTTTGACTGTCACTTAATTTGGGGAACATCTAGAGCTTGTTATACCAGATTCATCAGTAAAATGTACTTTGTAGATCTTCATTAAGGGATTTTAGCTAGAAAAGCATTAATTGGGCTGAACAGACTACATCATTAACCCTATATGGATCACCAATTTATGGTACCTCTAAGGACCATCACAGAACAGGCATTTTTCAAACTGCTGCACATACTGCAACTATATGCATGATGTTGATGCAATGTGACTTCTCTCCCACTGCATATCAGAGCCACGAGCCTTCCRCAAAAACGTCATTCTAAGAACTTCTTGCCTACTGTGGATATAACCAATAAATCAAGGCAGTTGCACAAGCCACAACCTAGGTGGCATTAATTAGATCAGTGGAAGTTATGATCCAACGTAATTATCACTGCTACCCCACCTATGTTTAATTTCAGTGTTTCTTCCTATCTTTTCCCCAGAGGGTCAATAGGAGAGCTAAACTACATGCTTCAACAGTGCCAGTCTCCAGAGGCAGCACCAGAAAGAAATGTTCAGCAATTATATGAGTGCAAGTAAGGGGAAGGGGCCTATCAAGAGATGTGATCAGATACTATACAACAAGGGGGGAAAGGAAGGAATTCACCCCTTGTCCCTTACACWCCCTTCCGCATGGCAGTTGGACAAGGCATGTGGATTTTGTGTGGATTTTTCCTGATCTGACCCACCAGTCCTCATCCAGGACAGCATTTAGATACAGAAGTCACTGTAAGCATGTGCAGGGTGTTAGGGAACTAACCCTGATTTCTCAAAATCTTAAATAAATGGAGTATTTTGACGAAGCAGGACTACTGTGCTCACTGCTGGTGTTTGTGCTGCAGCACCAATGGAAGAGCCCAGCGAAGGGGAAGAGCAGCCAATGCCCTGAGACCTGGAGCATCTCTGGCCACATTTATATTAGAAGGTACTGCAGAACATCAGGAATGGTCTGTTGAGAGAAACAGCTGGTGCTAAGGACCTTACATTCACACTGCCTGCATTTCTATTCTGTACATACTTGACTTCCAACTAGGTCTGGTCTAGTGACTGGTAACAACTAGTGCTGGTTGCAGCATGTTTGGTGCAGCCCTGCTGCACACCTACCAGCTTGGTGCCACCCCAGAGGAGTCCTGTTCACGTGCTCCAAGACTGCTCTGCAAGGCAAATTAGCAGGCAGTGACGTGGAAATGACCGGGAGGCTCTTTTCAAAGCTTACTGCTCTCCAAGCTAAAATACTAATGTTGGTTCCCCCTATCAACTCGCTGCTGGGCATGGAGAAGTGATTGGGGATACATTCATGCTGCGAACTACAGGACACTGTGGAGATTTCCCAGCAAATGTCTCCAGGGATAGTTACAGAACAAGATCTACAGCAGTACAAACAATATAATGACCATTTTGTCCTGATAAAATAGCATAACGTGACCCCGATGTAGGTTTGGAGCAGACCAACACAGGTGTCCCTGGACAGCACKGAATTGCCTGGCTGCACCAACACACTGGTGGCCACCTCCCTTATGCTATGCATGTGTGCTCCTCCTCTCCACCAGTTCCTCTGTCCACGGGGACATTACAGCYCTCAGGACTAGAGGACTGTACTTTAGGATGGGGGAGTAACACAAATATGAATAAAAATGGGAAGTCAGATGTTTGCAGAACTGCACCCTGTATCACAGCCCAGGACACTGCTGTAATGACAGTACATGGCTGGGGGAGAACTACAGCTTTTGAATTGGAAGAACTTTATACAAAAAGGCATCATATATTTCAGGGCACAGCACTGCTTTCTGGTTGAAGGTTGCATCCTCACAGGGTTGGAAGAAAAAGGTTTTCTGCTGAAAACCCTGAAGATTTTAGCAGGTCGGTTGGCTCTGCTCCTCTTTGACCTTTCTCGTGTGCATCTGCTCTTCCCTGCACTTAGAATAAAACATTTTCCTTTGACACTGTGCAGGCCTCTGCGTAAAAAGAGCTTGGTGCAATCAGGTGTGTTCCTAGCGAACTGCAGACTGCAGCACAAAGACACCTCTGTTTTTCAGAAGCCCGTTCGGCAATGTTCACTCAGCAGAGGACACCAACAGCAYAGCAGCATCCACCAGCCTCCTGCCTTTGCTTGTAATTAAAGAAAGGTCAGGAGCTGTACTTTTCTGAGAACCACACTTACCTTTGCACCGTCAAAAAACAAACGTACACAAATCTCACAAAGGAAACTTTTGTTGACATCCAGAAACATGAAACATGAGACAGGAAAAATATTAAACACCCAGCCATGCTATCTAACARGGTCTGTGAAACTCACTGCCTCCTTGGTTATAGAATTGTTGAGATATTTGGTACCAACAGCAAATTGTACTGTATTCTAGCTTTTTTCATGCCTCACTGCTACAGAAAGGCCCTGATTCCCATTATCTTTTCTCATTTTCATAGGCAGCCAGAGGGTGCCGGTTTGTTTGTCCGGATCCACTCAGTAGTCAATTAGGTGCAGTGAGAAATGACGTGCACCTGGACATTTGGGCTGCAGAGATTCCTTAGCATTTTAATAGGTTATGCTATTCCAGGGAAGAAAAAAGCAAAAATAACCTTTCAACAGATGTTACTGAAATGTGATTTTTCTTCTATGCTTTTAGAGTTATAGAAACTATCATATCGAAAGTACAGGAAAAGTACCAAGAARCAAGAACAAGAACAAAACAGAAGAATGAAAAGCACTGGACTTCTCCCTGGAAAATACTATTAGTCAAAATTCAATCCGTTTGTTTGCTATGAATACAAGGACCCTGCGGCCAAGAACACGGTGACATTATGGGGACAGTCGGAGCAGCAGTACCTAAGCATAGTAGAGCTAGAAAAGAACTACTAAAGAGGAGCAGAGGTATTCAGAGATTCAGAGAGGAAATTGGCAGCAATGCCGTTACTGTAAACCTGACACATTACTCTGAGGTTCCGGAAACAGAAATGACCTAGAAATCTACCCCTAGGGACCAAGCCTTTAACCCCTCCCTGGTACTCTCCTACTCCCTGTGCAATCACCACGTGTGATTTGCTAACGAAACGAAGGGAACTGGCACAGAGGGGGCAGACGCAGAACACAGACATAAGGGATTCCACTGAACAACTTGCAACATAAAACGCTTGGAGACCACAGACAATTGCTGCAAGAACCAGGGAGCGGCATCCAGCAGCCCTCCTGCTCTGTTTTTCCCACCGTTAGCGGGGCACTGCAGAGAAYGCAGTTAAAAAGGTCTTCTAGAATAGCTTTAAGGATTGGAAATCTGATAAAGCAGATACAAGTGGCAAAGCTCCACTGACGTCAGTGGGGCTTATATAAGGCAAGATTTTGTAATGGCAAGTGTAATACTGGGGCTGAAAAATTCTGCACACTCAACAAGGAAGTTTCCCAGCTTGGCCTCAAGAGGCATGGGCTGACCATCAAAAAAAAAAAAAAATCCTCCCTCCAAATAAAAATTGAACTTGAAATATTGCTGCAAAAGTGCCCAGTTTCTTTGTATGGTCATGCAATTATAACTTACTGCATCCGAGATGCTAATACTGAATGATATTTTTAAAAGTAAATTTTGTATTTTTGCATATTAGAAATTGCATGAAAAAAATGTGACTATAAAATGCAATACAGTAATGCCTGGGACACTGCAGTATGGGAGTTGTTCTTCGTTCACACAATTACTCTTTTTAGGACCATCTAATATCTTGGTGAGAATTAACACTGGCCATTTCAAAACAACTGAAAAAAAGGAGCTATGCCAAATTACATCAGTGAAGGATCCAGCCTTTTGACTTCAAGTTATCCTCAGTTAACACTGGCGTAATCAGAAAAAGGCAACATTTACTCCTTTGCCCAATCAAAATAGCTTGAATATTGGCTACTTTCAGAGAACTGCCTGAAAACATTCCACAAACCATGAATTATTCCCAGTATTAAACAAATAATTGTGACTAGTAAATAAATATTTGAAAGTAATGGCTGGTTCACAGACCATTCAAACACAGCGTAAGGGGGAGATATTCATCATATGAATTACCCATTAAGAATTATTGGCTCTGCTCTAGTTATAACTGATAAACAGTCATGTGGATAACAAGGCAAGTGCTTGGCAAGTCTCCTGCTTTCAGTCCCAGCAATATAGCTTCCTTTTCAATGGACACACAAGCTCAGCTAACCATTTATCCCACTTTTCCCAGGGAAACTCACTGCACGCGGTGCACCTGAGCGGCGAAAGTTGGCTCCGTGTTTCTCTAAGCCCTACTTGTCTGGTTAAATTCCAGGTCAGGCAACAGCATTCTGACAGAACCACATTCCTGCTGTAGTTTCAATTACCTAAATTATTCTTCACCTCCTGTCCTAAGCATGGGCATATTTTTGATGGCCCTAGCTGGGAAATGGGAATGCAAACTGCTACCAGATGTAGAAAGGAAGAATGATTTCATACTGGAAGCACTAGCCTCCGAGCTCCAAGTCAATG